GCTTCTCGCAGCCCTACGTGGCGCGGCCCGAGGGCGCCCGCGACCAGGCGCAGGCCGACGGGCTCACGGTCTACCTGGTCATTGCGTTGGCCTCGGTGTCTTCGCTCTTCCTCTGCTCTGTGCTCCTGTTTGTGGCTGTGAGACTGTGCAGGAGGAGGAGGGCCGCAGCGGAGTGTCGCTACCCGGTTCCTGAGGGCTACTTTCCAGACCATTTGATGGACGTGAGTGGCATGGGGACCTTGTCCCGTAGCTACCAGTATGAGGTGTGTCTGACAGGAGGTTCTGGAACTAATGAGTTTAAATTTCTGAAGCCGATTATTCCTAACCTCCCAGTCCAAGATTCTGGAAGGAATGTAGGTGGAAACTCCAACTCCCGGAGTAGTTTTGGATTCAACATCCAATAGAGTAATTTATTTTAAATTTTCATTTTTCTTGCCATAAAAACTGCCAATGTCTTTGACCTAATCTATAGAATTTATCTTGTGCCTCCGTTGCATGCATCGTTAACATTGTTCATCCTGTCCTCAAATTCGCTTTAGAAGTCTTTATTGTGACTGCTGGGAGATGGAGATATAATTTGTATGCCTTGTTTTGAAAGTTAATGTAGTCCACCTAGTAATATTGAGCAGGAATTACCCTCCTTCCCCACCCCCACCCCCCAAAAAAAGTAAAACTTGCTCTGAGATAGCCTTTTAAACATTTTAAACTTTAAGCCAAAAATCGTCTCTGAGAGATGGAACCAAGCAAGACTTGAGCTTATCAATAAAGAATATCTGCCGTGAACATTGTGCTCTTCAGAGCTGTCAGGCCTGGAGCTGACCTCCCCTCCAACGCTGACCGCCCCTCTCCCCCAACTGCAGGCAGGCCTCTAAGGAGAGCCAAGTACGCTGGGAGGGGGTGGAGCGGCCATGCACTCCTTACAATACAAAGCCAATGGGACAACACTTGCCCAAGGAAAGAGCTCAGAAGGAAGGAAGAGTTAAGAAAGAATAGAAACAGGGAGCCCAGGAAGGAAACGAGGGAGAGTGCTGTTACTTTATGTGGACTGCATTTAAGAGCACGAAACTAAATACATACGTATGAATTCTGGAAGAGACAAGAAATTTGCTCTGTAAACTTCTACTCGAGTCACGATTAAAAATTAACAAGTAAAGAATTAAATGTCTGTGTCACATCGACCATTCCAAAGGTTAGATAGAAAGCCTTCTTCAGGGGCAGTGGATTTATGTTCCTGGGGTGGAAACAACTCAGATAAGGAAGATGAGAATGGCTGTCCAACTGGAAGGATGTCATCAGCGTCGCTGACTTGTACATGTAGACATTGTTGGATCGATGTGTTTTCTGCTGTGTATATTCCCAACAAGAACAAATTATATACAAAAGAAGCTATTGCTCTTTTTCTTGTGATAATATGATTGTTCTGAAGCAAGTAAATGTTCTTAAGTTTTAAGATGGATACTGAAACATTTAAGAATGAATGTTACAATATTGTAATTTACTTTAAATTTACTTTAAAAAAGCAAATTAAAAAGCTTGTTCCAAAAAAAGAAAAGAAAAGATTGTTCATCTAGGTGGAGAGTATTTTTTATTTTATCATATCATTCTTGGCTTGCAAAGTTTTGCATTTAAAAAATATGACTTTCTATATTGATTACTAGAGAACATTTTGCTGTTGTTGTTATATAGCATTTTACAAGAGCTCACTTAATGACAAAATAAAAGTGACTACATTGAATTATTGATTTTTTAATGTATATAATTTTAAAGAACTATTTCTGTTGATGCTATTGTGGGAAGAAATCTTATAATGCTCTGGGTCTTGATTATGTTATTTTGTTTACTTAAAATACGCTGTTTATTACTTTAAAGTTTCTATTCTTTTATATTTTTGAACCAAAATAAGTTCAAGATATCATCCTAAGTGAAATAGTCTTCATCACAAGAGTACAAGATGAAAACTTCACAAAAAATTGAAATGAAATTTTAAATTATTGATGAAAATTATTTAAGTTCATTTTCCTATCATTCTTAAAAATGAATATTAAATATCACTTATAGCCTCTCTGAGATATTCACAAAACTAACTGTTTATAGAAGCCAATCTATACTATAAATTATAGTGTCTTCAATATACAAATGTATAGTTTAATGGACAATTGGAGATAGAGAGTTTGATAACTGAAATTTAGTGTAGGTAAAAGGTAGTGTGACCATGCATATGCTGTACATAATGTGACTAGCATATGCTACATTGCTACATACAGAAGCATATGCTGTCAGAAGCGAAGTATTAATAGACTACAAGATTTTTTTACTGGGGAAATGGAGAGAAGAGCAACGATGTAAAAATATATTTCTGACCTTAGAATTGGCTTGAATTTCTTAAATAAGGCTCTAAAAGTGCAAACCATCAAGAAAAAACATTTTTAAGATAAATGTTAAATTCTGGGGGGAAAAGAATGTGAAAAACTCTATTCTGTTTACCTAAGTTCAGGAGAGAGTGAAGAGGGGAAGATAAAGAGAGAATGGAGTAGAAAGCTATAGAGAAGATTGTATAGTTTGTGTGTGGGGAGGATATAAGTAGTGCGAATAAAAGTGGAAGCTAATTCTATTTTAACAGCAAAACTTGTCTTTTCTAAAAGTTTATTTAAGTTGTTTACAGCATTATATAGTTTATTTGTTCATGTGAAGTTAGTGAAAAATTATTCTCTAAGATATAACTGGTAATTTTGAGATATAATAAAATATCCCTGAGGTTCTATATTTTAAGTAAGAGTAGAATAAATTATATATACCACTGAAAACAATTAGCTAAGAAGACACTGTGTTGTCAAGTCAAAGTTCAAGGTCAAAAGGAAATCCAGTAAGATAGATGAGTACAAAATCTACTCTTTCCCAGAGAACATTTGAGATCTTAGGAATTTTGAACCTTCGTTTTGATGGTTTTATGTCATGAACGGGGAAATGAAAGTTTATCAAAATGAGAAGTTTACAAAATTCCATTCCATCAGTAACCCTGGATATTCAAGATTTACACCTTTAGGTTGAGAGCAAACAAGTAATGGATGAGTCTTTGTGTGGAATATCAGTCTTGGGTTTTATTTCTACTCTTGAAGTTGATTTAAAGTAATCATTGACAGGTGTTGCTTTCAGGTCCTGATAGAATCAAATGCAGCTCTTCTATAAAAGGATTCTTCTTCTCCCCAAGCTTCAAATTGCTCATATAAAATAATTTTTATGTTTGTAACCTGAACCCAGTAAAAAATAAGTGTAAATGCAAGGAAACACAATACCATGAGCAAAACAACAGATTGTAGAAATAAACTTTAAGCACTTCAAATGCTGCAATTACGAGTGTATAATACATGAAATGTTTAATCGAAATAAAAGAAAATGTGAATATTATAGGAAACAAAATAAAGATAACTGTGACAGGTTATTTTAAAAAGAGAGAGCTCCTAGAAATGAAAAGCATAATCAAATTACTAAACAGAATGTTTTAACAGAAAATTAGATGTTAATCAAAGAATGACATCAAGAATAACAGATGACATCAAGGACATTATACATGAAGACAGCAAAAGGTCATGGGAATAACAGAAAAGATCAAAATTAATGCCAGAAGAGACTCTGAAACTTGCTCTTGGACAGAGTAGCTAAAGCAACTGGAAGAAATGATAAAGTAAAAGAGAGAAGATTTCAAAGAATGGCTTGAGAAGACAAGATAAAGTATATTAATGAAATGTTAAAACACCCAAAAGAAAGAACATGTTTGTCATTCCTCAAGTTGAAAGAACTGAAGAAAGATTCAACAGGAAAATATTGAACGACAGAAGCATCAAAACAAGATGGAAGGAATGCACACAATCACTGTACCAAAAAAAATTGGTCTACATTCAACATTTTAGAAGGCAACATACAATCAAAAGCCAATGGTATAAAGTCCAAACTGTACTGAAGGCATTGGCAAAAACAACACTCCAGAAATTGACAGAATACCAATGGAAATATTTCAAGAAATGGATGCAGTACTGGAAGCACTCACGCATTTTTTCAAATAAATTTGGAAGACAGTTACCTGGCTAACTCTCTGATAGAGATCCATAGTATAACTTTTCCAAAGAAAGATAATGCAGTGGAATATGAAAATCATTGAATAATTAATATTAAACACAAGTAGAATTTTGCTGAAGATGTTTCAAAAATTGTTTAATAATCCATTGACAGGGAGCTGCCAGAAACTCAAGTCAGATTCTGAAGAGGACCTGGGTTAAAGGCTATCTTTGGGGATGTCAGATAGATCTTGGCAGAAGTGAAGGATATCATAAAGTTATTTGCTTGTTTTTTTTATTATGTAAAGGCTGGCTATGTAGATAATAGAAAAAGTATTGACAGCATTGCCCCAAATTGAAATTACAGAGCACTTGATCAAACACTTATAGGGAACCTGTATATAAACCAACAGTCCCTGGAACAGAACAAGGGGATATTGCGTGGTGTAACACCAGGAAAGGTGTGTATCATGACTGTACCCTTTCATCATACTCATTCAATCTGTATACTGAGCCAATAATCTAAGAAATTTGACTCTATGAAGACAATAACATTAGGATTGGCGGGAAACAGCCAACAACATGTGGATGATAAGCTTTCTTGCTGAAAGTGCAGAGGAGGTTGAGCACCTACTGCTGACGATCAACAAAGTAATCCTTCATTGTGGATTACACCTGAACATAAAGAAAGCAAAACCCTCAAAATAGGCCCATAAGCAACATCATGATCAATAGAGAAAATGTTAGCATTATCAAAGATTTCATTTTACTTAGATCCACAATCAAAGCTATGGAAGTGCCATTGAGTACATCAAATGATGTATTTATTACATTGGGAAGTATTTTAAAGCAAAGATTTCCGAGCTATGGCACACCTGACCCAAACCATGGTATTTCCCATTACATCACATGAATGGGAATACTGGACAATGAATAAAGAAGCCAAAGAATTATACCTTTGAATGGCGAGGTGTAAAATAATATTGAACCTATCAAGAATTTCCAGAAAAACACATAAATCTGCTCTGAAAGAAGTACAGCCAGGATGTTCTTTAGAAGTGACAATGAGAGTCTTTGTCTCATATATTTTGGACATTGGATTAGGCCCTGGAGAAGAGCAGCATACTTAATGATGTAGGAGGTCCATGATTAAGAGAACCCTGCAGGAGACAAACTGATACAGTGCTGCTCAAACCACTGTGGCTAACAATTGTGAAGACAGCTGGACCAAGTCTGTTTCCTTCAGTTGTGTATACAATTACTTGCTATGAATTGAAACTGACCTGATGACATCTAACAACAACAAAGCACAAAGAATTAGTTAAGTAAAAGATAGATCAGAATACAGTTTACCTAGTGTTCATCAAAGTACAAAAGAGGTGGTTAGAAACACAGAATAGGGTAAGAAAGTCTAACATCTATGAGCAAGAAAATATAACATGTGCAATCTGATTTTAGAAGAACTGAGAAATACTAAAACAGAAGCAATATTGGAAGAAATAATGCCTGGGTTGTTTTCTGGAATTAATCAAGATATCAACACAGAGATTCAAGAGACACAAATAAGCCTAACAGGATTATATATATACCTAGAAACATCAAAGTGTTATTTTCACAAGACCAAAAACACAAGAATATTTTTAATGGCCAGAGGAAAAGGACAATTAAATGCCAAAAGTGTGATGATTAGATTAATGCCTGATTAGCATTAGCAATTGAACAGTAATAGGAACTAAAAGAAAATAGGGCAATATCTTCAATGTCCCTAAAGAACTTAACAAATCTTCCAATCTAAACAGTTTTTGCATGTAAAGTTTTTAAAAAGTAGATAACCAAATCAACTGAATAGGTTGAGTTTGAAAGTAATCAAGAAGATGGGCGTGAAGGAGCTTAAAGACATTTATCTTTTATAGTTTTCCTCTTTTCTCACTTCTTGTCAGAATTTGGGGTCAAGGAGTTAGACCTGTCTTTTTCTAGCTTTCTTCATCTCAAGTGACATTCACTGTTCCTCTGGCTGGTCACCTATGACCATAGCCATTCTCTGGAAACTAACTCAAAGATCATTCTATCAATGATCAACCATCTGCATCTAAGAGCTTCCTTGATCATGTGTGCCAACAAATCTGAAATGTGTTTCTGGATTACAAATGCTTTACTCAACTTCACTCATACCTGTATACTTGAAAATAATTTATATGACTGTATGTATTATCTCTGGACACCTCAAATTCAACATATTTTAAATGAACAATTTCCCTTCCCCAAAACTAAACCTTTTTACTGTTCGCTACCTTTTTCTCTCTCTCCTCCTTTGCCTATGTTTATGAGGCTAGTTAATCGCGCCAATATCCACTCAGTACCCTAGTCTTGAAAGAGTCTTTACTCTCTAATAGACATCCTCTATAGCTAATCTATCACCACATCCTGGATGCTGGCATTTTACTGTTATCCTTTTAATACAAACCTACTACTGCCTTCCTACTTCTTCTATGGTATCTGTTACCTAGCAATCTCTCTCCCCTGGTCCTTCTCTTCTCTAATTTATTCTCCTTCCTGAAACCAGATGATCTTCTGAAGTGCAGGTAGGATCATCTCACATTCTTGTTTTAAATTCTTCATTAACCTTCCATTTCCATTAATATAAAACCAAAATGTCTTGACGTGGATTACAGAATATTTGCCAACGTTTCCACCCTAGCAGTCTCATCACTTTTCTCCTCTTCCTCGTTGGTTCAATCGTATGCACTTGATTTCATTTCCTCCAAACGCCTCCTCTCATCTTGGTTTTGCACAATGGTACTTTCAGTCTGCCTGGAAATGTTCACCACACATCTACTGTTTGTTTGATGTGTGATTATTCATTTTGCATGTATCAATTTAGAATATGCTTCATCAAGAAAACTTTTTCCTGTACTTCCAAATTCCAGTGAGTGATCTTCATCTATGTTCTTGGAGTAACATAAACTTTCCCTCTCATGGCAGTAATGATGCCTTACTTACAATCTGTTATCATTTTCTGCCTCCCTTATTCATGGCAGGAGTTATGTATGTCTCTTTTACTACTTCACCTATAACGCTACTGTGCCTAATAAAAATTATATGTTCACTGAATAGTTGCTGAGCAAATCCATGACTGGATGATTGAAAGTCTTCATTAGGAAAGCCTGAGTCAGCAAAATGATGCGACAAAACTTGGGTCGGACTTTTCAACATTTGCTTAAGTGTGAGAAACTGAACTCTGTTGGTGAGATTACTTTAGAGTAGTGCTGGGGAGATTTCCTATAGAGTCTTCCTAAATAAATTATACTTTCTGCACATCCCAAAATATCCAGCCTCCCCCAAAGGACAATCTGCAAATACTGCATTCAGTTTCTAGTTTATGACTTCTATTCCATGAATCTAAGTGTTTTTATGGAGAGCTAGAGAAGACTCGGCCCTCAGTTCCCCATGCCCCATGTTCCTCTCTCACATGCCAAGTCAGTTATTGGAAAGAATGCTCCTCACAGTTTTCATTGTTTCACAAATTGTCTTCACAGTGAGATTATTTATTTGAGGCAGACATTATGTTGTTATTGTTTTGCTTATTTGAAGTAGGCGTTATGTTTGTTGTTGTTTGTAAGGAACAAAAATTAATGTTCTCAATTTTTAGGGGTAGAAATTCAAAGTCAAGGTGTCGGCCCAAAGTCTAGGAGAAGGTTCTCTTTCTCTATTTGCTCTCAGGAAAGGTTCTTATCTCTTTCAATTTCTGTAGACCTATTGGCCCCCAGAATTGACAATGTTTTAAAGATGCTTTCTATAGTCACTACAGTTTTGGCCAACTCTGGCTTTGTGCTAATAGTATAATGATCATAGCACCACACACCACCTCTTACCGCAACTCAGGGGTAAAAATAGACATATAGAAAAAAGCACGGGCAATGAATGTACACATGCGTTTTACACAATTGATGTATGTATGGATTGTGATAAGAGTTGTATGAGCCCCTAATAAAACGATTTTAAAAAAGAAAAAAGCACACTTTAAAGTCATCAAAAAACACGTGAAACATTTTTTCATGTGTATTTGACTTTGTCTGAAACCGAGCTATCACAATGGCCAGATGGTGGCGCTGCAGGATAAGATAGCGAACATTTTGCAAAATACCAACGTTTTAGCCAGTGAACTTGAGCGTGCTAGAGAGGCAGAGAGAAAGAGGCTTTCAAGCGAAAGGTAGGGCGTCCACAACTCCCCTCGGAAGGGTTACAAATCGATACCCTCAAGGTTCCAGGCTGATAAGATGACAGGAATGACTTCCAGAGTTGCCTGAGATCGAGTTGACGCGCCTGTGCCAAGAGATGTTCGGCAAAGGAGCCATGGAGCTGGCAGAGGGGACCAGTCAGCAGAAAAGGCAAGTGCTGCTTTTCTTTGTCTTCCTGGGAGGATCTCTAGTGGGTTCTGAAACCCTGCGCTATTCTGTGGCAGAGGAAATGGAGCTCGACTCCTTTATAGCCAACGTAGTGAAAGACGTGGGTTCCGGGGTGGAAGATCTGGCTGCTCGAAGAGCCAGAGTCATCTTTGATGATTACACACCACATTTGCGGTTGGATCTGCAGACCGGAGACTTGCTCACAAATGAGCAACTGGATAGGGAGGCACTCTGCGATCTCGCTGAACCATGTGTTTTGCACTTCCAAGTGTTACTTGAAAATCCTTTACAATTTTTTCGGGCGGAGCTTTGGGTTAAAGATATAAACGATCACACCCCCACGTTCATAGACAAGCATGTCCTTTTGAAAATCCCAGAAAGTTCTGCTCCAGGAAGCTCGTTCCAAATGGAGAGTGCGCAAGACCTAGATGTAGGACAGAATGCTGTCCAGAACTACACCATCAGCCCCAACCCCCATTTTCTTCTTAAACTACAAGACAGCGGTGGGCTCAGGAAATACCCGGAGTTAGTGCTGGACCAACCTCTAGATCGAGAAAAGGAGCCCGAGCTTAGTGTCACGCTAATCGCCATGGATGGCGGGTCTCCGCCCAGGTCTGGGACTGCCTCCATTCGCATTGTTGTCCTGGATGTCAATGACAATGCCCCTCAGTTTGAGAAGCCAGTCTATGAAGTTCAGGTACCAGAGAACAGCCCTCTGGACTCCGTGGTCCTAACGGTATCTGCTACGGATTTAGATGCAGGAATAAATGGAGAACTATCTTATTCATTTTCCCATGCCTCCAGAGACATGCAGCAAACATTTGAAATTCATCCAATTTCTGGCAAAGTTCACTTAAAAGCACTTCTAGATTTCGAGCTAATTCAGTCTTATATAATAAATGTCCAAGCCATTGATGGTGGAGGCCTTGCTGGAAAATCAGTCATTCTTGTTCAGGTTGTAGATGTGAACGACAACTCACCAGAAATAACCATGACATCTCTTAGCAGCCCCATACTGGAAAACTCCCCACCAGAGACAGTGGTCGCGGTGTTCAGAGTACGTGACAAAGACGCAGGAGAGAACGGTAGTATGGTATGCTCAATTCAGGACCATCTCCCCTTTCTCCTGAAGCCTACCTTCAAGAATTTCTACACCCTAGTGACTGAGAGCCCTTTGGACAGAGAGACTAGAGCAGAATATAATATCACCATCACCGTCACCGACTTGGGGTCCCCCAGGCTGAAAACCGAGCACACCATCAGGGTGCTGGTCTCCGACGTCAATGACAACGC